ACTTTCATTATTTATAGCATCATCATTATTATATACAGTTATTTTATGAATCTGATCTTTTAATTGTATTTAAACGTTATTTTATAGTGACTTTAATTAAATCGATAATATTTGGTATTATAATAAAAAAAAGTCTTATAGAAAACAAAAAATAATACGTTTAATCAAACATCAACGTATTTGAATATTTGACATTTCATGACAGCTAACAGTTGATACTCAATACTTAATTCATAACCATTTTAGGAATGTCGTTTACTAATTCACTATCAATAAAGTAAAAGAAAAAAACACCATTTACATTGTATTTCGCATACAATTATTCGGCCATTCGTCTTCATCCAAAATCCACCACGATCCAACTTAAGGTCGACCGCGTAATCCTCACGAGTTATTCGCTGGAATTCTTTCGTTCGCAAAAGAATTCTTACTTGTCTTTCCAGAGAAAGTAATGCACTTTATTTTTTTTTTCGTTCCTCGGGCAAACATCAATAATACTTCGACGAAATTCAATCAGTTCTTGTCGCTTTGTCTCAATTCTTTTGTTTTTCTCTTATACATTTTTCATTTTTCTATCAAACGTGAAAACGTGATTCTCGTTATATACTCTTTACAGTCACTTAATACAATTTATATTACAATTATTATAATATTTTACATCATTTTATTTGATTTTTTGTCAGCTTTTTAGAATATTTATTAAATAAATAAAAAAATTAAACAAAGTTGTTGCAATTTAATTTTTTTCATATTTTTTTTTTGGGGAATAGTAAATATTAACAAAAAATCCTGAATTTAAATTGAAAAACTTCGTATTACCTAAAATTAAAAAGAAAATATCTCCCTATTATTAAAATTAATATAATCGATATTAACAAAAATTAAAATAAAATGTTTTCTCGTCATTAGCAATTAAAATCTTAGAAAAATATAAAAAATCATTATTTTGTACTTCTAAAACATACATAGTTTTTAGCATGGTTTAACCTAAATAAACTCTTTGTTTTGCTCTCCTTCCGTGTTTTCCGTCGAGAGAAATGCGAAATATTTGGGACTTGCTAAAAGGCAAAATGAACTATGCCCTTTATGAATATTCAGGACGTCGTCGTTCGCTCAGGATCCTATTGGGAGGGTATCAAAAACGGACGCCCTAAAAGCCTTGTAGAATTTAATTATTCCCATAAATTCCCTGTATAATCCTCCAAGCACCGATTTATAGATTCAGACGTTGTAATTGATTCTAAAACTACAAACTACAAAAAAAAAAAAAAAAGTACGTGAGTTTTAAATTTAGCAAATAGATTCTATTTGTTTCTAATTTTAGAAAATTGTCTTATTAATAATTATAAAAATACCAACAGTTTTGTTGGATTATTAGCATTTAGTCGATTATCACTAAGTATCAATTTAATACATGATTAGCTACCAAATTGAGTAGGTGTAGATGCTTCTTATTGGCTGTAATAATTTATCGGAATTACGTTTCTTAGAGCTATGCGTGTTCATATTTCACAAAGTTCACACGAGCCACCTGCGATTAAGGCCATTATAGTCCTTAGGATTAGCGTTAATAATTCGGGAAAAGCATGTCTTATCCACCACCTCCGAGTCTCCGGGTGTGTGATAGACAAAAGTGTATATATTCATACGCACACGCTAAGTCGAGTTTCAGCGCTATGGAAACTATCGAATTCCCCTAAAAATACCGCTTCGCACCAAAATTTTCATATATGAATAAACAAAAATGTATTAACTTGATGAAATAAATTATATATTTATTTGCATGAAATACGGTTTTGCATATATAATTTCAATTATATACTGCATGACGTTTTTGTAATAATTAAAAAATATAAAATTTGCATACGAAATAATGTAATTATAATTATTTTTATTTATATAAATCATAAACAATAATTCCGCAGGTCACTTCGATAGAATTTTCTCAAAGTAAGTACCAACTGAAAGTAAATTAATGAGAATTATATTCTATAATAGATAACTTTTCCAAGTTAAGTTAATGATATTTTAATATACGCTTACCAAAACATAACATTCCTTTTAATGTACTTATTTCTTTCTATACTATATGATTATTAAGTTTACTTTTATTTAAAAATTTGAAACTTTTTTAGTTTTTAGCAAATTCATATAATTCCGAGTATATTAGTTTTAATTCTTTGAAATACAAATATAAATTTTAGTAAACAAAAGTGTTATAATTTTCAAATTTGTTGGATATGTAAATTTCACAAAATTTTATTATTTCAATTAATTTTATTTAAAAATATTATATTTTAGATAATTGCTAAATATACGTTATAAACAAATTAAATATTTTGAAAAAGTTTTTTTTTTTCGCGCGGAAAGACTTAGGTCGATAGCACTTTGGTTACAATTGTGACTAATAAAGATTATTATTATTTTTTTTTTAATATCCCAGTTTTTAGTAATTTACATTAAGTTCAGTATTTCAATTACTTGTTGAAATCAAGCAATCAATGAAGCGCAAGAAACAAAAAGAAAATAAGCAAAGCTGATAGGTTTTATTGGAATTCTTCGGATTTGGTCTATTTCAGAAAAGAGATTTACGCAAGTCGACCTCAATTTGTGTGAAACGTACTAATTGAGCGCCTCGAATAGCAGAAGAAAAAGGAAATCTTCGTTGCACAAGTGAAAACGAATATTGGTTTTACCATTCATTGGCAATTTACTTTTGGCGTTTCGAAAGACTCGATAATTCGACCATTTTTTTTTTCAATTAATTCAATACTTTGATTAATTTGTAACTTTATTTATTTGTTTAGTTTGTTATTTTTTAAGCAATAATTGCATATTATCTACGCAGTTAGTTGATTAATTTATATATTTATTTAATAAATTAAAAACAAATAGTAAAAGTAATATTCATTGGTTATAAAAATAAACTTTGACAATTCATATGATTAATTATGGCGTCGATAAAAACAGGAAAGCAAAATGGAATGATTATATTTCCATTTTGCGTTCATAATTATAAGTTATAAATATCTATAAAAACAAACAAAAAATTAATATATAATATATAGGTTTATAGAAAACGAAAACAAAACAAAAATAGATTGGTTATGTAACATTTGCAGTAGTTTTTTTTTCTATTAAGTTGGCTCATCGTTAACAGAAATAATGTAATTACAAATAGAACCATAAACATTTATAGGTTATAGAGAAAAAAAGACAACAAACGTCAATATTAATTGAGACAAAAAAAATGTTTATGTAATAATTGTAACAATTATTTTGTGAATCGCGTATAGTTTGGCTATTTCAAGCATGCAAAGGTTTTAAAAAGAAATATAAATATAATTATTTATAGGTTATGAATTTATGAATTAATTAGGTTAAACAAAATGGAAGAATTATTGAATTTTTGTATTTGTTTTGTATAAACTTAGCTCATCGATTAATTTATACGGATACACTAAAGTAAAAAAGAAACGGTAATAATGGATAGAACCATAAACATTTATAGGTCATAAAAATGAATGTTATTATTAATTGCGGTGGAAAAATGTTTGCTTACGTAATTGCGTTTTTTTTTGTGCGAATTGATAGCTAGGAAATAATGAAATAAAAAAAACATGTTTCTTTCGCCGTTCGATTCTTCCTTCGGGATATCCAGTTGGCCCTGCTTAGAGAGCCAAGATCAGGGAGATGTTACCATGGAGACAAAGAGCGTATCCATGATTAATTGATGGGGGTGCGTACGTTTTACGTTGCGGTTTCGTTTTAACGTCGGCTGTTAAGATTGTTTATTTATCTAATCTTACATATATATATATATAATACGTTTTTTTGTTCATTTTAGAGAGTCAACAAATGACGCGACTCGAGGACGCAAGCAGCAAATAGAGGGCTTTATTATTTGTTGTAATAAGCAAAGCCGATGTGTTCGTAGTGAATTAGCGGAAGAGAATTAACATCCGAAATAAAAAAAAACGTGTGTGGAGATTTAACGTGATTTAGTGTTGTGCCGTTAATCCTGCTGCTTCAGCTCCAGACTTTGTTATTGTTTCGCAAATATTCAGGATCCTCGTCCTTGTGGGATGTGTGTTTAGTTAGGGGCGAAGAAGAAGCAGAGGAAGTAGAACAAAGTGTTGGTGCGGTGTTGCAGTGTCGCGTCACAATGGGGTGCAAATTAGGAAAGTTGGCGCGCGGAAGTGGCGGCCGCGGATCGGGGATGCAGGATCAGGATCTGCCGCCGCCGGCGCCCACCGATCCCCGTCTTCCTCTCACCGCCAAGCAAAAGTACAACATGCTTGCATCCTGGAAAGGAATCAGCAGAGCTATGGAACCCACCGGTATCAACATGTTCCTCAAGTAAGTTCGATTTTGTTTTGTTCCTTTTATTTTCATTTACCGCAAAAGCCGTTGCATACTATAATCACCTGATGTTAAAGTTTTACTTTAATATTTAATATTTTGCATAGCAATATACAAATAAAAATATTAAAAAGAATACTAATAAAGAAGAAAACTTTAAAAGTTTGAAATAATTAAAATTTTGTTTATTAACGTCTTACGCCAATCAACTTACCTTTGTTCTATTGTACTTAATAAAAAAATAATTTAAATAAAACATGCTACAATATTAAGTGAACGATTTTAAATTAGTTTTCAGGTCTCAAAAATTATTTTAATATTTGAACTTTATTTTCAGCTTGAAAATGATCTTTAGCTATATATAAACATATTAAAAACTTGATTAATCTAATTTAGTTTATCACGAAATTATACAAGTCAACTCTACGTTATCATATATAATAATATTGATATTAAACTAAATGTAAATAAGAAAAAGAAAAGTATTGAGAAAACAATTAGTTTATATGTTTACAATTAACACATTTTTTATCAAAAGTGAGTTAGGAAATTAATCTTTTTTAATCACTGATTAGAATACTGTAGTTTTTTTTATAATAAATCATAATATAATTAATCTATTTGGGAATTACAAACTAAAATTATTTTATATTACATAGGTGAATATACGGGTTGTCATAAAAAAAGCGTTACCATTTTGAATGACCGCCATATTAGTTTACCTAATGATTATTTGTTTCCTCAATAATAAATTTATTTACTTATTTATCTAAAATCAAAATGTTAACGCTTCTTTTATCACACTCCTTATAAAGATAGTTAGACTTTTATCTTGGCATCCCTGATTATATTTTTTTGTTACCTTTTAACAATTTATCAAAATGTAACCTATCGGATTAACAGGAACCGTCTGATTATCCTAGTCGGTTGCTGTTCGGGGCATTCCTTCATCGGAATACACGTTTTGTTATGGTCTCGCACATAACCCAGACTGCAGTGACACCCATTTTGACAGACCACGCACTTTTCGTGTCTCGTCCGACAGCTCCTTCCGCAACCGCACATGAATTCCTCATTTTCAGGACAAGAAACTACTTCCTCCTCGTTCGCAGCTGAAACCTCTGCAAACAAACAAAGACGGAAGCAGAAAAAAATAAGTAGACGTTAACACGCGATGTTACAAAACTTTTCGTAACTCCTATTACCAAAATGAGGGTAATTTTCTAGTGGCTATAAATTGCATGAATTGATCGACAACTTACCTTAATAAAAAGAAAGAGAAAAAAAGTAGTAAATAAATAGATTTTGTTCATTCGAAACCACATGATAATATTTGATTAGTAAAACTAACGAAATAAATAAGTTTTGTTTTAATGAAATTTACCTTCTTAATTTTTTTTTTCGCTCAAGAAAACTTAGTGCGAAATGTTGGTAATCTGATCACAAGTCGAGATAAAGTTTTTTTTTTCATTTTGTTTTGGCAACATTAAAAGGGGGCATTTTTCATCAAGCTGAAAGCTTCTTCGGAGGAAGAGACTCATGACATGCCATAAGTAAAATAAAAAAAAAGGAGATGGTGGACTTCCGGTTGAAGCAAAGAGGAAATGCCTGTAAAGCACTCGGGCAAACTAGAAACTTATTTCGGTAATCGATTCTCAATATACACGCAATTTACGCGAAATACCTGCACTGTATATTTCTAATACAATTATTTTTCAAAGTCACTGTTTTTATTCATTTTTTTCATCACAGAATTATAACGAATTTCTTTAAATTAAAGCCGGAGAATGAATATAGACTATTTATAGAGAATAAATTACATAATGGCATGTATGTAAATCGCGATCATCTGGCTGATCGGCCGAGCTAAAAGGCTGCCTTCCGAAGGCTGTCAATAGGCAAATGAATAATTGCATAAATATTTAGATAAATGTTTGTGAATTCTCCCCTCCCCTACGGCCGACTTAAGTTGCTATAGAAATTCGTAAACAGTTTACTCCGATTGCGTAAACACAATAACCGATAATTTGCAAGCGATTTATGAGCTTGCGTAACGTTCCTCCATTATCATTTTTGACAGCTGTCAATCGTTAGCTTGTCATTCGTCGAACATCATTCAATGGACATTTATTTACCTTAAACCTAATTAGTTTGATGACTTCAATGACGCGGATTTAAAAAAATACATAGGATTTATATTTTGACAGCTGACAGCTGTCATTAAAATCAGAGCGAAAACGATTATACTGGCACGTCACGTGTGAAAACAATTGCGAAAGAATATGTATAAAATATATAGGAAAAAAAGTAAGGAATGGCGTATGGTATGGCGAACTAAATAATGGAACCGAATGAAATATGCATATAATGGTCTTTATGTAATCAGCGAGCATAATGAACTCGCACAAAAGTGTTTCGTCATGGAATTCAAATTAATATTATATTTTTTTTATCTTGTTATTATTATTATACTCCCAGACGAGAATGTTGTGAATTTCAATTTAAAAAACTTTATTACTTTATATAATAGGACAAGTGCTTCAGAATTGAACGTGCTGTTGCATATAAATTATGTTTGAGGCATACGTGTAATAGGCAACCAATGTTCCTTGCCAGCGGTAAAAGTTGTATAAGGAAGAAATTAATCATATTTTTTATAGAGCATTCATAATAATTTACGACCCAATATATTTTATCGCAATTTTATTTATATTTCTAACAACGATTAATGTCTGGAAGCAAATAACGAAATATGATGTATTAGGCAATCAAATTCATACGAATCAATGACCAGATTTGCATATAAGCTGAAAAATAGTATAAATTTCTTATTTTTTTTTGTTGCTATTGATTTAAGCTCTTCTAGATAATATGATGAACAGAATATGAATATCAATAACTTATTGTGTTCAAAATTGGGGAAAAACTATTTATGATAATTTAGATGGATTTTGGTAATAGGCAACCAAAGTAACTGAAATGTATGCGAATCGATGACTAGATTTACATGCCGGCTAAAAAAGTGGTATAAGTAAGAAATACATCACTTTTATGGATTTCCTAATACACTATATAGTTTTTTTATGATTATTATTTAGAATAATTATGATCATTTTTTTATTTACATTTTCATTTGAACCGAAACTAGAGTGATCAGACCAGTTCAATCAAAAATCGGAACGTGCTTCGGATTATTCGATGGATTTCATTTCTACCTCATTACTTTACATACAATTATCCCGAAAATACATTTCGAGGACACCGGGTCAACTAGCAAAAAATCCCGGAAATTTTGGACCATTAACTAAGTTATGGTATGAATTGAATATAAAAAAAATAATAATTTGCAATAAGTATTTGATAAATCTACAAGATAATGGATTTAACATTAATATATTACATAAGTCAGAGTAGAAAAAATGTTTAAATCGGAGAATTCCACTATGCTTTATTTTAGATCATTCGAAGCTTGCACAAATAAACAGTGCATGGAAATAGATTCGAACGTGTTCGAATTGATTTGCAGGATTCCTTTGAATACGAACTATTAAAAAAAAACAAGTGACTCGTATAAATTCTTGCAGATTCATGCATTGTATTTAATTTATTGACTTTTATATAATAATTAGGTATGTATAGAACAAGTAGTTAAAGAATAAAATAATATTACTATTCTATAAATTACCTGCTAGAACTTGCTATTTTATCAAACGCATAAGTTTTATTATTCTTATAAAACAGATATTAATATATGTAAGAATATCCTTAAATTTGAAATTGTTGATGAAAATGTTAGGTCTCCTAGAAGGAGATAAATTACGTGATTGTAAATAAATACTGACCTGTATAGTTTCTCCCGTCACCAGGAATTACCGAGAGAAACCTTTCATTCCTCCTGCTGCAATCCTCCAACAATCTGCATTCCCTCACTTTCTTGTCCAAGAAGAAGCCCGTCTGGCAGTAGCATCCGGGCTCGTATATCAAATACTGCAAAACGGCTTCCGGTTCGTCGCACGTCTGCCAATTCATGAACCAAAAAGAAAAGAATTCGTTTTCCCTGCACGCCCTCATCCCTGCACCAAAAGAAATTGTTATCATTATTGCAATATACCGTTTTGAAGCTTCTTAGTAACTAAAACTTACTTGGAACAAGGAACAACAGCAGCAGAAGAAGAAACCACAACCGATCGAATTCCATCTTCGTTTCGGTATAATTTTTTTGTTTTCTCTCCGCTTCTGAAATCCGATATTTATTTCATGTTTCTCTTTCGACCGGCTTCGTTCTGCGACTGCAGCAAACCTTTTGACGCACAACAAATGAAGCTGGTTATTAAGAAATTAACTGTTAATGTGTAATAACGCTCACGTTTTGAGATTCTAGTTGACTCGCACACTAACTAGCCTTGAATGCGTAAATTACGCTCCTTTGGATGCTTGCTCATTCCATTTCTTGTTCCTCCTTAAAAACAACGTTAAAAGATAAATAAAAGAATTTTTATTCATTAAAACATTAACACTTATTACTAAACAATAGCTCGAAGCTAGCAATAAGGAAATGAAAGTAAAAATTGTTCTAACTTCAAGTTGAATAAACCCCGCATATAATTAGCAATCCACACTTAGTTTGAGCGCATTTTTATATACTAATTACTTTCCAAATCTTGAAAGAATTAATCAGTTTTTTTTTAACTACTTTTTTTTGCTATGATAACTAACTAATAATATATAATTTATAAACAGCACAAAAAAACGAGCTTGACTGACGAAACAGAAACCCATTATTTAAATAATCACTTAAATTTCTCATCGTTACAGACTGATGTTTTCAGAATAACCAATAATTTGATACAACTTTCAAATAGATGGCGTTCGCCGGTTTCTTCAACTTCCTTCACTGCGTGTTACATCGTGTAATGGCCTCTTTAAGGGATAAATCGCTTAGCAAAAGATTGATTGATTCTATCCATCACATATATAATTCTACATCGATCACAGCATAAAAATCTTGTCATAAATCCTGTCTTGATTTGCGAATCCTTCTGAGATCGTTTGTTATACGAACATGTGCGAAGGCAAATTGAACTTGATACTTTATCGAACCCTCTTCCTCAACATTAACATTGATGACACAATTTTTTATCTGTTAAATTGACAGTTTTCAAAATGAATTTATTTGGTAACTGCCAACTACCAATCTTATTGAATCAAATCGAAACAATTCTGTAACAATTGGAATTTATATCATAATTATCAAACTGTCAAAAGCACAACTTATATAATGTGTTGCCTAGATCAGGGTTACCCAAACTTTTCCTGCAACGGAACACTTTGTAAAACCTGAAATTTACAAGGAATACCTTATTTATTTTGCAGGGTAGATAATAACACATAATCAATAAGATTTAAATAAAAACAAGAAAAACATTTATTTAGTAATTATTTCTTTCTAGGTTCTCACGGAACATCTATTAACATAGTTTAAAAAACCAAATATGCAGAGATAAACAAAATAATTATGTACTTAAAAAAGTTGCAAAATCAGATCTTAATTTGGCACTTTTTATCTGTCAAATTAAGAGTCTCAGTAATTTAAATTATTTAATATTAACTATTCAGAAGTATCAAAAAGAATAAAAGAATTACGTACATAAAGGGATATTATCGAATCAGATTTTTGTGACATAATTTTTTCAATCTGTCAAATTGACATCTTTCATAATGCGTTGTTGCTGTTCAACATTAACTAAACAAAAAAAGTATCAAATATTATATAGATATGTTATTTACATTTCTGAAACACAAGATAAACTAATCCATATGTTAAGCAATTTATTTTTTTCATATTTCATTTATTATTCACAGAGGTACAAAAGGATTATCCATGCATACGTAATTTATTAATCTATGACTCACATTTTGCCGTAACTGAATAACAAATGCATAAAAATAGAAGAAATAAATTAAAATTCAGTAAATGTGAATCAACAATTAACAATTGCACAATTAACTTTAAGCATACATCTTAATCTTTGAAACAAAGGTAACAGTTTTTTGGTAGTTTTACGACAAAGCGTTGTACACATTTTTATTCATTTTAATAAATAATTACTTTTATGTTTACTTTTATTCCGATATTCGTGTTATTCATGATATACGTAGTAGTGGGAAAACAGTATAAAAACCTGAAGTTGTTATTGTTAGTTTTATACAAGTGGATAAAATGAAAATCATCATCCTCACCGTTTTGTGCTTGTGCACTTTGACTATGTCTTCAGGTACGTTTGAACTATTTACTTTGTAAAAATGCATTTTATTTGATTAATTTTGGTAAAGATGAATGCGGTGCGAACGAAAGCATCAAAGAAGGTGGATTCGAATGCAACAATTGCTTTAACGCCGCTTGCGTTCGTTGCGCTTACATTAAAAAAAGGGGCTGTTATTGTAATGACGATTCCATAAGGCTTAATGAAACGGACAGAACTTGCGTTAAATACGAGGATTGTCCAGGTGAATTATTACATAACAAAAACAAACTTAAGTGTAAATTATAATATTCTTTGTTTAAGTTTGCGAAAATTGCCCGTGCGCCATCAATCGAGGCAACAAGATTACAAACTGAGTACAATTGTTGGACTGATTCAATTTAATTTTTTTTTTTCAGTTTTCATGGATTAACTTGTACAAGAATATTGCAAATTTGATTAATTTTATATATTTTTTTTTAATTTTGTCAATAAATTAACAACAAAAAATTTCATGTTTATCATAGTATATTTTTATTTCGTAGCATAAATATACATAATAAATTACTACGTGACGCAAACTTTTTTTTCGCTGTGCATCCGCATAGCAATTAGCAAATTGCTCCGAAACAAAGGAAACATTTTTTTTGGATTGTTCTGAAACAAAGCGTTTTCCGCATATCTTTCTTTATCTACTTTGGTAAATATTTACCTGGGTGTATGTGTATTTTTATATATTTCTTTATCGGAAGTGGTGGGAAAACTGTATAAAAACCTTGGCAGTTGGTTGTTAACCTTAATCAGTGGACAAAATGAAAATTATCATTATCGCCGTTTTGTGCTTCAGCGCTTTGGCTTTGGCCTTTGGTAAGTTTAATCTCGTGTTGTTTCTCCGGTGAAAATTGCAATTTATTATATATTTTGTAAAGAAGAGTGCGGTCCGAACGAGAGCATTCAAGACGGTGGAATCGAATGCAACACTTGTTTTAACGCCCTCTGCGTACGTTGTGCTTGGATTCCAGAAAAAAGGTGTTTCTGTGATGAAGATTCCATAAGACTTAACGGAACGAACACACCCTGCGTTAAACGCGATGATTGTCCAGGTGATGATTATTACATAAGTAAAGTTAACAGCATATGAAACTGTTCTCCGTTTTAGTCTGCGAAGGTTGCTCGTGCGCCATCAATCAAGGCCGTCGGAAACCCAAGTACTGAGTGGGATGAATCAATCTATCTCTTGCGCAACGAATTAAATTAGTTGTATTAGTTTTCGAACGTCACTCAATTTAATTACTTATTTTTCCAGTTTTTTATGCTACCAGACACCTTTTTTAAATTGTAATCAATGTAATATTATTTTAAACTTATCGTTAGTTAACAAATGATTAATAAAAAATATAATAACTATTATTTTTTCTACTTTAGTGTAACGCTTTTGAAACATTGAGCTAAACTAAGTCGTCGTTTCGTTTTATCAACTGCATTTTCTTTCCCGTTTTTTTGTTCGTGGTTAATCTATTTTTTCATATTTTATTATTTTGTTATCCGTGATATTTGGGAGAAAAGAAAGGAGCTATAAAAAAACTCAAAGTACGTGGATTTTATCCTGTCATATGTAAAGCCAACGTAAATAACGAAGAGTCCTGATTCCGGTCCGTTCGGCGTTCTCGCATTTTAGCGTTTCTTTCGGGTAAGCGAAATCCGAGTAAATCCACTGTATTCCGCATATTCTCCGCTACCGTAAATAATTGACTTTAAACCCATGTATTCTTGTTGGATTTCATTGTTTCAATTTACTTATTTTTTTCTCTAAAAGCAATGAATAGTTAAATAGTAAAATCCTAAAATATATTTACATTTAATATTGAGCATTGACCATTTATGGAAAATCAGATATGTGATAAAAAAGGCAATACAATAGATGCGGATATTCCTTCCGAATATGTATCAAAAATTGTCCAAACTTTTGTTTTGAAAAATGAATTCAAACTTAAATCCTTTGTCAATTCAAGCACAGTGTTATCGTGGGTTTTTACTATCAAACTTTTGGAGATGACATTGAATTAAATATTTTATATGTTCTTTATAGAATTCACAATTATCTGCAATCATTTGAAAATATTTTGGAAACATCTGGCACGGAAAATATGTTGTGGAGAAGATATCTATATGATTGATTCTAGAATTTAACAAATGTGTCAATCCGATTAGGTTGGGTTAATTTATATATTATGAAAAAGCAAAGGTTATATGACAAATTAATAAGATAACTTAATGTCGTTTAATATTTCTGAGATTATCGAAATTGACCACTTTTATATTTGGTTGAATGAAAATCAACAATTTGCATTTAGGGAAATGCGGTCCGAATGAGAGCGTGCAGGATGGTGGATACGACTGCATAGATTGCATGCAAGCTCTGTGCGTTCTGTGCCAATGGAACCAGGAGAGGAAATGTTACTGTGATCCTGGTTATATGCGGGTCAGTCACAAGAACAGGACGTGCGTCAGGAACGAGGACTGTCCAGGTGACAATCAATTTACGCGATAAATCAATTCATTAAAATAATCCTTTCAGTTTGTGAAGGTTGTCCGTGTGCCATCAATAGAGGATACTAACCCACAATTCTGTTCCAGTTTCATTGATAATAACAAAACCAAATATATATAAATATATATCAAACAATTGTTTACTTGTTTTATTTAAAAGAAAAATATTCATGAACTCACACACATTCGCAAATACAGACAAAACCACACAAACAAATATATCCTCATTGAATATGAATTTAAATTCCTAAAATAAAACTAGTCCTTCACAGATTCATGGAGAATCATGAATCCTCGTTCTTGGTAAATAAATTAACATGAATAATTGAAGGAATATTAATTGCTTGTGTATATTATACAGAAAATTTAACAAATCAATAATTCAATTGAAAAGCACGCTTCACATTGGAATGTTATTGACATAATATGAAGGAAAAAGTATGTTTTTTTTTGAAAAAGGTACATTATCAATATTTTTCGAATTCTTTTTCTCCTAACTAAACCTTGCCAACTAGCTCATAAGTGTATTTTTTGTCTCTTATTTCTTATGCATATTCCACCTAGCATTTAATTTTTTTTCTTTTACACATGTACAAGTTCCCCCGTTTTTTGTACTGACTAAATGAGTGATATCTCACATCTACGCCATTCCACAACAACAAGCCACCTCTTTTTACATTAATTAAAGCTAAAGCTCTCCAGCCAAGGTGTTACTATCCCATACCAATTGATTATAAATAGCGCATGCTCTTTTGTCACCTTGATGGAGGATGCATGCTGATTTGAAGTATTTGCAATGTTGACTCCTTTTCCGTCGGCAATCCAATTTGATGGCTCCTGGACTCGTGCATCATTATACACGTTCTATTGTTGTCATGGCACTATCGGATTGCACGACAGAGTTGCAGTCTTGCAAACTGTAATTGTCGGGGAATCGATGAGCATTTTGTGAGAAGGATCCGTCCATTCCGTGACTTTCATCCAGATTAAACACGAAATTGTCTTCGATTTACAAAATCCCTGAATAATGGATTTTTACTCACCCTTTACATAAAAATCACAAAGAACCTTTAAGACTCTCATTATTATAGCTTTGAAAATAAATATGTTTTTTTATTAAGCTTTCATATTTATTCAAATTGAATAAATATCAAAATAAAGAGTACCCAGTACATAGCCTTGTAGTAGATTCAATCAAAAAATGTTGTTTTATTATATTAGCATTTGCTTCGTTTCACCAAGAAACGCTGTTTTCGATGTGCTTCCTAACATCATTAGAGTAATGAGGTTGTTTTCGATGTTTCCAGTTTACTGATTCTTCCGTTTGTCTATTATACATGCTTGAATACGTTTTGATGCATTTCACATTGACTTTCAAAACAATATTCACTTCAATACAGGCATATTGAAATATGTGTCTTGAAAAAAGAATTGAACAAAACGTTAACTCTTTTTTATTCAAACTCATTGCTTCATATAGTAAAACTATTTTTTTTATTATAAATTATATATTAGCAATAAAATTAATTATTTTATAACTTGATATATGTGTTAAAACAATTCTATTAGAAATACGTATAATTAGTTTGATCTCAATTGATAATTAAGAAAAATAAATAGTTGATTACGTAAAATTTGCGTATTGTAAAAAATAACATAAGTTTAAACTGAATAAAATTTCCTATAAGTACTAACTCGCATATATGTTAAGTGAATTGTCAAACAAAACGTATTATTTCTTTCAGGAAACTATATTTTTATTGTACAGTTCTATTGGATTTTATTGAACCACAAGCAAAAATTGTTGGAAAACATTTAAATTTTTCAAATTGATTTAAAATTTTTGATATGGCGAACTATGGCTCTGAGTTGGTCGACAAGCTGCGACTCGCTGCACGAAAGTGAACCTGCGGAATCTTCCTCCATTCACGAAGAAGTTCTTTCTTGAGCACACCAATACTCTTGTATTTTTTAGTTCTGAAATTGGCTTGTTAAATACCAAGAAGTCGATCGGATTTGCATCTGGTCACCGTGAAGGCCGAAATTAAGTTTGGAGCGTTTTCTCTCAGCCATTGTTGGTTTGTCTGATGGTGCATAATGTTTTTCAAACGTCCACTGATTTTGACTGAAATGTTTTGGTTATTCATTACTGTGACGCATTAACCTTGACGCCACGGTCCAAAAACATCAACGGAGAACGTTGTCTCATCAGACAACAGCTTCTTCGCTCTATCTAGCTTAGTTTTTTAGAACATAGGTGAAATCTTGCCCTTTTTGATATATTTCACATAGTTCACTTTGAGTATTCGTTGCATGGTTATTTTAGATATGTTCAACTGAGTAGCCATTTGTCTTCCACAACGTGGCGAATGTTTTATTCTCATATAATAAAGTACACAAACGAAATAATAAATATAATAATGGTCGGAAATGAAATTATGAAGGACGTTCTAATCGAAAATGTTGTTTGCGATTAGATTAGGGCAGGAATTTCATTAAAATTAATTTACGTGCGCCCTAAATTCTTGAACAACCCAAGATCATTGCATATTTGCGGTAGTTCTGTACTGTTGATTAACGTCTACGTGCTTAAAATTGAAACACCCTTTTCCATCCTGTTTCCATTTATTTTGTTTGTTTTTTCTATTCCCTTTAGTTTACTTGCACTAATAGTTTTGCGCCATTCGAACCGAAAACAAATTAATTCGAACCGCTCCGACGTTATAATCAAATTACAAGCGACAGATCGTTTAGTTTATTTATTAGTGTGCGAAATTCGTTTCTGCAAATTTAATTGTAGTTTTGTATTTAATATATTTTCATCAAGCTGCATTTAACAAAAACATTTGAAAATGCAACATTTCTAATAGAATCATTTTAATTTATTAAAAAAAAGAATTCACTAAACTTTATTTCTTAAATATTTCTTAAATAATATTCATTTATTGGCCAACTACCTACAAAGAAAATTACAAATATACGAAATGTATATTCATGAAATTTCGAAAGAAACCGAACCAGATATAATAAAAAAAAGATCATTTGATCTTCTTTCGGTCTTAAAGAAGTAATCAAATTTTCATTCTCACTGGGCACACAAAAGTCGCTTATAAGTACAGTGAAAAATAAAAATACTACAAAATTGTATTAAATAAATAAGTTAATAAACAGTAAACACACTATAAAACAATACACGTTAAATAAAATAATTCGATAACCGAATAAGTAAATAAATAGTACGTATTAAATATCGAAATAAAGTTACAATAATGGAAGAACACTGAGACCAAACGATTGAAAAACTACAAACAAGTAAATACGTGCTAAAACATCGCCACATTATTACTGGCTCTGTAGCAATATCTCACGATATATGCTGTTTATATTACGCTCTGTCATGTTAAAGTAGCGCATGATGATAATGCCACCGATGACACAATACGTAAAACTCCGCTTAAAGCCTTCCAAATATGCAGGGAATTTGTTAAGAGACCACGATTCCACACATTCAGATCATTGACAATTGTCACCAAAGATACTGTTGTGTCCAACCGTTATTATTACAATTATTATTATTAATATAGTGTCTCTTAGTCGCCATATTATATATAAACATCAGCATAAAAGGAACCTTCACCGTGAGACCGATTGTAACATTCCTCCTTATTTTCAACTGGGAACCAGACGCAGAATAGGCAGTTTCATCGAGACCAGCTACTGATAAGAACATCGCTCATATTTTCAACCAATACCCACTAACCAACCTGGATGTCCTTCCAAACCATATACAAAACGTGCGCAGGAGTTCTGAATCCTTTGAATCCGTCAAGCATCAGCCTAACCATACATCACATGCCCATAATTAAAAATAGATAAGACAAGAGACGCACATAGAACGTTCACGTTCCTGCTCAGAACAGAACGATTCATGTATACCAACTTGAGACCTGCGAAAGCCCCATCTAGAAGAATTGTTTCTAAATCTAAAATCTGGCTCTAAAAACAAAACCAAGATTACTTATCTTATTCGAGAACCCGACCGTCCAACCGTTCATAGCAATGATCATTCACTCCGTTACTATGCGTCTGGACCTGATAGGTCCGAAAACCATTGCGGCCGTCTTACTATGATTCAATCAATGTAACCTAATTTGAAAATAAATAATATTGTTAATTTCTTAAATAACAATATTACTTATTTTGCATGCATTAAATTTCAAAAAAATATATTTACTTAAGACCTAAAGTTAAAATTAATTAAGTGATATATAAGTTCCATACATCACATAATTTAATCCTATAAGCTAATTCTTAGAAAGGGCTGTTATAATTATATTTAGATTATTAATTCACATGAATTATTTATATGTATTGGTAGGTGTTATTACTTTTAATCTACTTAAGTAATCAATAAATTAAATTTGTTTAATAATAGTTAAAGAAGAAAACTGTAAATAATAATATTTTTATTGCCCAATAATATGCATATTTAAAGAGTTGTGCAAATTTAATTAATATTATAAATTAGACGAATTGACTCGAATCATAAAAAAATATTTGATTTTTGTCTGAATCATAAATTAGAGTTAATTTTCATGTGAAACGCGTGTTGACGGCGCAGGCGCAATTGTGGAATCCGCCACGATGACAAACTGAAATTTAAAAAAAAAAATACAAAAACAAAATTATAAAAATACATCAACACAACTTTGAAACTTGTTTCAAAATACACTTCTACATGAAAACAATTGAAGTAAATTGAAAAAAGTATTTGTATTAAAACAATTTAAGTGCATTGTTTCAAAAAATAGCAATTGAAGATGGAAATTTAGAAAAAAAAAACTATGTTACCTGGACAATCGATACGTTTGACGCAAGGTCCTAGTTTGTCTCCTCTTTTAAATCCGACCCTGATGTATCCAGTTTTGCAGTAGCAGCCCTCCATCTTCCTCAAGAAACAATTGTTCGAGCAGTGAGCATTGAAACAGGTGCCGCACTCCATGCCTTCAGCCATATAGGTCTCATTTTGGGAGCATTCTGCAATTATTAATTAAATAAAAAATGTATTCTGTACGAGAAAAAAAACATTATTATAAATTAGACTTACCTTGGGATGCGACCAAAACGACTGAGATTATCAGAAGAGAAAAAGTGATCAAACTGAGACGGCTCATCTTGCTTTGTGTCCCGTCTTTGCATCAGCTTGTTCCTATTTATACGCTTGCTCCTCTCAAAGCCCCCCTTGATTTATGTAATACGTAATAAAACCTATTTAAACAAGCGTTGATAACCGTAGTACACAAGCATTAATACCAGCAACAACATAATTGTTTTTCTCGTTAAAATGTAAAAAAAAATAGAAAACGTTCAGGTAAATGACAACAGTTCGAAAAACGTTGATTGCTTAGGCGAAATTTTTAATCACTTTTCTTTGAATATACAATAAAAAACTATGCACGAAGGTTAATGTACTTGCTGTTTGCTCTCATTAATTTTTGTGTGTGTGCGATGGTTTACAGAATCTTCCTAGTTTTAGAAGATTTTTGGAGATGGTGATATGATTCATTATTTAGGTCACCAGCGACGAGTTTATTTACTTTCCTCGAAGGTTAGATATGAAAATTCGCGTAATTTCAAATTTAGCATTGTTTGCTCAGATAAGTACCGCACCGACGTTGACGTTCTCTTTGTTGTTATTGCTGAAACTTGCTTTGTTGATAAACAATTAAGGGGATTTTACGACGATTACGTGCAATTCGTAAATCTTTATATACCATTTATAATATAATACTGCTCCCAAAGTGTGGTACGCGTACGCATGTACTCCCATCAAACTCTTCCCGTCCCCAAGGGGGCAGGGAAGAGTTTGATGGGAGTACACGCTGTTGTTGCATGTGCAACAAGCAGATTACTTTTTTCAATAACAAACATAGAAAAATAAGTCCATGAATCCATTGATATTTTGAAAATGTTATGGCGTTTGCTAGATATGAAAAATATCAAGAAAATCATGATGACAAGTAGTCATACTTAGATTATTTTTCATACCGATGTATGAATTCTAAACCAATTATTACACATGAATTTCATGTTTTTATTTTATGTTTCATGTTTATTGAAAAATAAACATAAGGAGTGTACTTTAACATCATTCTGGTTGTAAATACAACATGTGTATCCAGTTTGAATATACAAAGTCCTGAAATACAAAATGCAAGATTTTCAAACTTTATGTCAATATGAAGTTGCTTTTTCAACATTTGTAGGCATTAAGTATACCGTATCTCAGATTAAAATAAACAACCATAGAATTAAATTATGATGATCTGTTGTCTCAACTTAAACAATTTCATCTTTATTATTGATATTAATGAATGTTATTTATAATGTAACTTTTATTTATTTTATTTATATTTTATTAGGAATTAATTTTATTTTTCGTTTATTATTATTTTGTTTATGTATTAAAAAGGAAAAATAAATATATTTTGATTGCTATTAAAGTGTATACAATTTTTTTTTACGAGCGATACTCAGTGGAAATGACGAAAATTATAGAAGGGGTACACAGATGTCAAAAGTTTGGGAAACACTGATTTAAAGAGTTTATAGTTGTTGTTGGTATTGACAATCTGTCAAAATATTATATATTATATTAATCACCTTCAATATAATTTAAAATTAGTTGTTTTTGATGGTTTTTTTTTGTATCAGGTGTAAAATAGTTAACAATAATTTTAAATCAACACGTTCTGATTATTTTTAGTTAATTTCTTGTTTTTTTTTTCTAATAATAAATAAGAATTAAATCTTGTGCATATTTTATTGAATAAGAAAAATATCAATTTCCAAAAGAATCTCTATTATAATATTAAAGATTACAATGAAAAGCTGCAGACAATTCACCTTAACAACCAACAAATTATTATTTTCTCAAAATTGCTCAAAACTCCATATTTACATATTTAAACTAATATTATAATGAATAAACTTTAAAAACGTATATTTTTTTCAGCAAAAAAAGATAAAAACGCATAAAAGATAATAAAGTATTATATGTGTATGCCTTTTGCATCTGAACTAATTTAAAGAACAAAGGTGTAATTTCAATTAGATTAATAGTAAATAAAATTAAATTTTTAGACTACAACATTTATTTTTTAATTAGCAACACTTTTTTCAGATGCTTAGTCTTAGTAGTTCGGATTTATTCGGTAGAATTATTCGCAAGCATCGCGTGGAACGCATTCGCCTTTAGAGTTTCTCCAATAACCAGGTTCGCATTCACAACATGGTACGCAACCTCTAGGATGATTTCTGGGATTAATTTCCGCTTTTTCGATAGTTTTGCCACACATAACGGGGGGTGATGAACATTTGACTCCGCAGGGACTGAAATATTCGTTAGGTCCGCACGCAGGTTTAGAATCTGAACGAAAAAAGAAAAAGCAAAAGGTAGAAGCAATCAGCTAATAAAAACTCACTTATTTTTTAAAATTGATATAACCTCAACGGCATTGTTAACGAAAATGATTCCGCATCTTTTTATGCAAGTTGACAATTATGAAGAGGCAATTATGTTTATGACCTTAATGTCAAGAAGTGCAGAAATGATCGCAAATCAAAATATGTATTTTTCTTTATGTATAATTGTTTTATTTTGTTTGAACTTTTATAATAGAATTAAAACGTTCTCGTCTCCACTTATAATTACAATAAAACAGATTAATTGAAAAAAAAATGTAGACATTATCTTGAGTTGTTGACTCTGACAATAGTACAAAAAAAGAGACAATAGCACAAAGCCTACCAAATACGTATAAATTTAAAATGCATAATTAATGTCGAAAATGTTCCTAAATAAGAGGAAATAACTTACATAATCATGTTGAATGTTAGATTAGTTGGGTTTTGTGGATACAGGTTATGTCAAATATTGGTTAGTTTAGATCAGTGGTCGGCAAATCTTGGCTAGTCTCTTTGGGCTCTTGAGTGCGGATCTGCCACAAATGAGCACGTTTCATTCAATTTCCAAACCTGATGAAACATTGCCAAATGTGAATTTAGTTCACAGCTCCAAGACCTGGAAAAGGAATACATGACGATTTTTAATACCTGAAAGAACTAGCGGTGCCTAAAATTTAAAACAAAAACATCAAAAACTGACTTACCCAAACTTTTCAAGGATATTTAATGTGATTTCAAAGAATTTGAAATATGAGGGAAGCTTTTCTAATCTGGTTTTAGGAATTCAGAAGTAACAAAACGACTTTGCGAAAAAAAAAACTATAAATGTTATTGTAACATAATATAATTAAATTTTTCTTCGTTTAATGTTGACATTGGTAACTTTGAAATGCAATTGCTGGATTTAAATACAAAAAATTGTGTAGCTCTAAAATATGAACTTAATTCACAGCACAAGTGGTCTGCTTTCAATGACCTGGAGAAGGAAGACTTGATGATTTTTAACACCTAGGATAGTACTCCTGACTCATATGTTCAGTTGGAGAAACTAGCGTTTGCTGTTCTTTCCCTTTTCGGTTCTACATATTCACGCAAACAATATTTTTCAAGCATGAACCTTATCAAGAGTAAATGATGAGATGAGAACCTGGAATCGTACCTAAAATTAAAAACAACAACATACAAACCTGATTTAACCAAGGAAACGCAAAGCCATTGTTAACATTAAGTGTTTGTCATGATTTAATTTGGAATATTGATATCAAGGTTTATTCAGTGTACCTATAATTTAATTAAGAAAATTTAATGAAAGTTTATTAAATTAATAAACAGTGTACCTACCTACATAGCTTAAGTTTAAGATATTTGACTCTCAAAAGAAATATCAATCTGCACTGTTGATATTTGGCTGTTTAAACGTAGTTTAATTTATACAAAGGCTTTTTATTTAAAAAAATAAACTCTTAATTAAGCAATTTATTTTCGAAACTTTCACAATTTCTATTTATAGACTGTTAGATTTGTTTGTTGTGTCTAGCAAAATTTATTAATAGTTTATGCATGTGCACTCCATTCTTGTTTTTATAATCCAAGAACCATTCGATTTCGATTGTTCATAGAAATCATTAGATATTTCATTATTATTTTCATTGTTAACTTATTGCTTATTCATTAATAAAAAAATCAATATGTTATTTTTTTTAATTATTTTAACTAGGCTTTCGAATTGCCCCCTTAACAATCAAATTTCCTTCCGTGAGGCGTGGGCCCCTTGTTGGGAAACATGTATCCTTTCAAAACGTACAACATTTTTGTTAGGAATATGAATATGATGGACCACTCATATGCCAGTCCATCAACAGAGGGCGCTGCATGGACGGGCACTACCAACTGCAGGACTTACATTACCAACTGAAGTACCGAAAGCGATGAGGAGACTTATGCCGATTCCAAATAATAAATTAAAATATGTAAAAGATTCAATATTATATTTCTTGTTTAGCTGCAATAATTTGAAGAAGGAAGGTGTAATTTCAATTATATTTAGAGTAAATAAACTGAAACATGTAGTTATTTTCACTGAAACATTTAATTTATACGTAGCAATATTATTTTTCAAGGTATAATCATAATAGTCCGGATTTATTTGGTAGAATTATTCGCAAACTTCGGGTAAAACACATTCACCCTTAGAGTTTCTCAAATAACCATTGTTGCAAACACAAGTTGGTCTGCAAACTGTAGGACAATATTTGGGCGGTGTGTATGGTCCGATAATTTTGCCACAAATAGTGAGGGGAGGTGTACATCCGCTTCCGCATTCAATGAAATATTCGTTAGGTCCGCACGCATGTCCTAGTTCGGAAAAAAGAAAAGAAAATGCAAGAATTGGTAGCAAACAGCACTTTAAAAAAATTACTTATTTTTGAAAATTCAAATAACCTCAAAGTTATAAGAATGGTAGTTAACGAAAATTATTCCGTTTCTTTTAAGAACACTTAAATAATATATGCACATTTTATCCTAATGCTATCACAAATTGAAGAGACAATAACGTTTTTTTTTTCAATAGCTGACTTCTAGATATGCAGAAAAACTGCAAATCAAAATTGTAAATCTTTTTATGATTATTTTATACAATTTGTTGACTTAAGAACATTGAAACATTTGTGAACTTCATTGATAAAAAATGTATATTTTTTATGTGAATTTTTAAGGTATAATTAAATCAATATATTACAAAACTAAATGAAAAATGTTTAATATTATGTATTACCAAAAGATGTTGAAGTAGCCACCACCAGGAGGAAGCAAGCGAAAACGACGAGAAGTTTCATTTTGTTTGTAACTCGAAGAA